ATGGCATATTATGCTTTAAATTCTATGCTAAAGGCTTGAGTCAGGATGGAGAGAAAGGTACCATGCTTTAGTCTAGCCTTCAGGTAAAGGTATGTAGTCCCTGAGGTCTCTTAAATTTGGCCAAAGTCCAGGGCATCTTCAGGAGACCAAGGTGGTTCTAAAAATCTGAGCTGCTTCAGGAACTGCATTGCTCTAGGGTAACGACATGCCTCAGTTGCCCATTACAGCCCAAGGTTCATGAGAATTATTAAGAACATCAAAAAACATTCACCAAACGCATCTAATTTAAGTAATAAATCATCTGGCCACTCTTTTAGGGTCCAAAGTCGATCTGAGAAGGAAGAATTCTTTTTTCCTTTTCTTTCATTTTTTAAAAAATTATTTTTTTAATTTTCTATTGAATTTATGTGTATTTCATACAGAACATCTTAGTCATCTTTATAGCCCCTTCCCCACTGGCATCCTCCCATACCCCCCACCACTGGATTTCATGCATTGTCATTGATGTTAAGGCCTATCGAGTCAAGTTAGTGTCCCCAAACATCCCTCAGTGCAAGTTTGTCCATTGAGATCTAGTCACCCTAACTAGAGTCTCTCCCTTTGTGAAGATAGACTGTTCCTCACCCAGCAGAAATCAGCTGTCAATGGTTCTTCAGGTAAGATTGGGGCCAGCTATCCATTTCCACAGTTCTGTGCTGGGTTTTTGTCTGCTTAGGTTTTCCTGTTGACACCATTGCTGTAGAATCACATGAGCAAGGTCCTAGGAGCCTGTAAGACTCAAATTTTTAAGCAATCCTTTCTCTGTGGCTCTTCCTAAAGCAGGCTGGGTCTTCAGCAAGCCTCCGACTAAAGTGTGCTTTGAATTTGGACAGCCATCAACTGCTCTGCTACATATTTCCAAGGAGAAAAGAAGACCTTACAACACTTCCCCTTTTACCAAGGGAGCCAAGAGAATGAGAGAAGGGATCATGCTCAGTGAGAGAGGGACAGCTATGAAGCTGACAGGCCCCTAACTCCTGTAAGCACCGAGACAATGCTCACGTCCTCAGTGATGCTGGACAGAATCATTTACCAGGCAAAGAATAATTTGATTCTTCCAAGTTTGACATACATAGGGACACGACAGCAAGACTATTACTGTTTGTGAAATACTGAAATGATTTCATCCTGGTTGATAAATAACCATAGTAGTAAACAGTCTGGAAACTCTACCTTAGAGATCAACCCCTTCCTTAGACTACATGACCACCACAGAAGCCAACATTGCAGACCTAACACCTGCTCCAGCTGGAGTGTACTTAGGGTCTGCCCCACAATTCGTCTTAACCCAATGTGAGCAGTAACATAATACTGTGAATAACAACCCTGAACACTTTCACAGCAATTTGGGCAAAAAAGACTCGGGCTTACACACGATTGGAAAGAGATAAATACAATACAGAAGCGGAAGATTCTGAGCCAGCAAAACTCTTCATCAGATTCCTGACAGGCTGCCTCCCTAGCTGTGAGCATCCTGTCATGGTTGGGATGTATTCTTTGCATTATCCGGTGTCTCCAAGACCTGATCACTTCCCATTCCATTATCCAATGACCGCAGTGCTGGGTCTCCACCATCACTGCCTAAGATTTGATGTGACATGATGATATTTGTCTCAGCAGTTTCTTTCCTGAATTGGCTTCATGGGCAGCAGGGGTTGATGAAGCCTTCCATGACACCAGGTTACAGGTGAGCGTTGCACATTTGCAACAAGTGTTCTGCCCTCTGTGCGTTAGAATAATGAGAATGTCATAGCAAATAAACTATCCTACAAGGGAAGTGTTCACAATGAAAACTCAGGGTGCATGAGAAGCATTGATCTTCCAAAGAGAATAAAAACTCATTGCACTCACAGCTCACAAAATCAGAATCACACACTGGAAATAGCCTTCCTTTCTCCCTGATAGAGGACTAGGGCAACCTATTCTGCTCTGGAAAAATTTACCAAAAAAGGCCCAGGGGTCTTGAGATTCAGTGTTGCTGTTTGTCTGATACAGGACTCTGGAGAGATCGATCTCCTTTTCAATATTAGTTTCCCTGGCTTTCAAACGGACTTGCGATACCGCCCTAGCTTCCTGAAAGGGCCGTCCTCAGGAGGAGGGTCGCAGGCGAGAGAGCTTGAGAATGCTACCTTCCCTGCACAGATGAAGGCGGTTGTTAACTGTAGAAGGTTATAGAATATTCACTCGCAATTGGTTCCTCCTGAATTTCAGACTCAGGATCCCAAGAATCACACAACTAGCAAGGTGGGAAAAAGGGTGAATTCCATGGAGAACACGGATAAAACAAGATGCTACCCACATCGAGAATTTGGGCTTAAAAGCAGCATTTTTAAGACTTTGGACACAACAATTAAACAACAGAAACAAAACAAGCATAAACACTGCCTTGTGTTGTAGAGTGAACGAAGGCTGACCAAAAGAGTCTCCTTTCACTCACATTATGTTTTATTTTATAAATAAATCTAAAATAATTGAAACTCTAGTTACTCTGCTGGTTCGGTGGTACGTAAAACTGAATACCTCTTTAAGCTCTGCTTTCTCTTCCTGCACGCTTCTTTTTCTATAATGCCAGGAATGCTTCCCAGGCAGGGCCTTTACCACTGAACATGCTAGGCAGATGCTCTACCACTGAACCCCAGCTTCCCCTTAGTCTGCTGACATTATCAGCGGGGCTGGGTGGTGACACTTTCATGCAGACACTTTGCCTTCACCCCTTCCTTCTGCCCCTCCCCAGAGCCCTCTGCTAAGATTTGCTTGGGCTTCTCTTCCAAATGAGCTCCATGGGCCTGTGGGTTAAACAGCCAGCTCTGTGATGCTCAATTCAGGATCCAAATACGCCCTAGTTCGCTGTGTAGTTTTGGATCAGTCATTTCCCTCTCTGGGTCTTCGCTTTTCTTCCTGCTAAGACAACATTTGTTCCTTCTCAGTGTACGCAAGATCTTCTGTGGGAATTCTGGCGGAGCATCCTTCCCTGAATCGGTGTGTTCTGGAGAAGCACAGGTGGAATTAAAGTCACTGGTTTCCATCACAAAAGAAGCTACTCCCTGGGGAAAAATAAGAACTCATTAGTGGGGTCTCTCCTCAGGACTCTGCCAAAGGTCACCACTTCCTGCCCAGGGCCTGTTCTCCTTGGGAGTCCTTGAGAACTCTGCTGGGCTCTTAACGTATGGAGAGAAATCTCTGGTGAGTGCACTTCCAAAATGTATGCTTTTACTGGAAAACCAGGAGCAAGTGTGGCAGAGCACCCCAGAAACTCAGCTCTCAGGCTTCCAAGGCTCTGAATACTGCTGTCTCTCCTGTATGTATCTGAAAAACACTCGTTGCTTGTATGTCTCCCACCTTACTTCCCTGCTGACCCTCGTCCCTCAGAGAAGCTGTTTCATGTCTTTCATTTTTCCTACAGGTACTGAAGCAGGACTCATGAGGCAAAAGGACAGAAGAATTCAACCGAATAAAAACAACTCATCGCTCTTCCGAGCTATGTTGTTTCACTCACTGGTTTCTCCCACCCCATCTTCCTTTTATGTGCATTAGAGCCCCGTGTTCTCTAAGCTCAGACCTTCTTTGCCTTCACACCATCTCAACGTCTTTGTGTCATCTTGGACTTTTTCGTGAAACTGTGAGAAAAATATACCCTCACTCTCTAGTTGAACAGATGAGGAAGTTCCTGGTGCAGAGGGTTGACTACTGATGATTGAATGGTTCAGGCCAAGTACCTGGTTGAGTGGGCAGGTCTTTAGGAGTCCTTTGAACCACACAGTGACAAGGACTTTGCTATAAGCACTTTCTCCGAAGACTTTGTGCTTTATATTTTACTAACTCAATAAAATAAAAGATAAAAAAAGAATTTCAGTAAAGATAGAAACTGCCCAGGATATTAGCTATGTATACCAGGAGACAGCTATGTGACATCTTTCTAACATGTCACTGTTAGATCAGCAGTGATTCCCCAATAGCTAATGTTTATTGAATGATAGACATTCGGCCACTGTTAAAGGCAGTGAAGATTCTCAAAGGCTCATCAAGTTCCTGTGAGTGTTTGTTGATAATGACCATTTGCGGTACTTTTTCTGAAAGCTAGTGGCTGGCAAAGAGAAAGAGAAGTGGGAACCAAGCTGGTGCTGCAAGGCGGGTGTCCTGCAGTGAGCACCAGCCAGCTCTTCTGTGGGCATGTGGCCAGTCCTAAGCATGGACGAAGCAATGCTAATGGTACTCCATGTTCCTTCATAGACAAAATACTTAATCTGAGCAAATAAAAGGCATCGGGAGTCTCCACTTCCCCAGAGCAAACAGGCCTTTTTCTAAGAGCAACCCCAGCATGGAACAGTGTGTAATTGCATACACCAGGGGATCATCTTTCCTCTCCTTCCTCCAGCCCAGCGATATGGAGAAAGCACCTCTCACCACACCATCAACTTAAACCGCTGCATCCTGCCTAATAGCCGGAAAGACAAAGTTAATGGATGGAGCCCCAGAAATATTTTCAGGTAAAGTGGGGTCAAAGGTTCTATTCATGGGAAGATAGGAGTTAAGGCTTTTTCTCCCCCTTCATGCAATCTAAAGGTAGTTTTTATACACAAATGTATATATTAAGTATTAAATTTCTTCTTTGTATTTGTTTCCTTTACACTATATGATCTGGCAAGGATAAACTTAGAAGAAACAGGGTCTCCCTGTAGACCCAGTTGGCCTGGAACTCTCTGTGTAGACTAAACTGGCCTTGATCTTCCAGAGATCTGCTTGCCTCTTCCCCCCAAGTGCTAAGATTAAGGGTGTGCACCACCACACCCAGTTATAAAGGCAATTTTAAAGACCCACATCAAGTTCTTTTTTATTAAGCCTACACACTATTTTCTTTCTAATTTCTGCCTTTCTAGAAAGCAATCTTTAACCATTTCTCATCATAATTCTTACTGCATTGGATCACTCTTTAGGAAAATCAAAAATAATTCACAAATCAGTACAGTAGGGAAAAATATTTATTTTCTAAAATCGTTACCTTGACAGGCAAAACAAAGCATGTTTTCAATTTCATTCAGAAATACATTTTTTAAAAAATACATAGACCAATATGGCCTGCCCAGACATATATTTAACATGGTAAATATAAGGAATAAATTGTTTGAATATAAATATCTATAAAAAATAAGTACATCAAAATTCAATCTAATCTCTTCCATTAGCCAGTTACATAAGGGAAAACAGTTTTACTGCTTTAAAACATAACCAACTTTCTAATATCTTTCATTAACAGCCCTATACCACTGTTTCCAAACGTCAAAGACAGGGTCCTGATTCGATCTTCTTTTTCTCTCATAGATTAGAGCCAACAGATTAGCATGGAAATGTTTCAATGTTTCATGTACTACAGACTGACACATTGGGTTTGGTATGAGGAATTGGGAGCCTGGTGGTGGTAAAGGAAAGAGTTTGGGGAGATAATAATTAAAGGTGGGAAATATTTAAACAGTGCCAATATAGGTGAGGTAGGCTCAGATTCATGAAACACATCCTAATGTACAGTAGTAACAGTTTCTTTGAGTTTTGCATTTTATGACTTAAAAAGAAGTCTTTGTCCTTTTTTTTTTTAACTCGAATGTTTGTCCTTCGAGTATGTTTTCAATTTGTGCATTCCTCAGAAAAATCTTTGCATAGACTTTGGAGTTTCTCCCTGAAATGTGCCAGGCGCCTGAGTCAGACACAAACACTCCCTTAAGACTTTCTGCAGAAACTCCACCCTGGTGTGGAATCTCCTTTCTCTCTATGGAAGATGCCACCCTAATTCAAATGTCATCATGCCTCTGCTCTCTGAGAGGTCCACTGTCATTCCCAAACAGCAAGAAGAGACAAAATCTGTCACTACCAGTGAAGGCAAATGAAGACAGGTTGGGAAACATCCTAACCTTTCTTTGAATGTTTGGAACAAGGATATTGGTCTGCCAGGCTGAAGCAAGAAATGGTTGGAGCAGAACAGATACTCTTGCTCTGATTCCAGTGGGTGGGGAGAGTGCAGAGTTGGCCACCGGGCTCTCTCTAGGGAAGTTGCAGCTTCGGAAAGGTCCAGAAAGTCTGTAGTCAATGTGTTCGGTTGTGAGTCACCTTCTGGTCTCTGTAGAGTTCAGCTTTCAACTTTGCAACACGAAAAGATGTCTTGATGCTATTGCTGATGGCCTCCAATCTATTCAAACAAGACAAGAGAAAACAAATGTTATTTAAACACACACAAACACACATGGGAGGAGAGAAAGAAAGAAAGAAAGAAAGAAAGAAAGAAAGAAAGAAAGAAAGAAAGAAAGAAAGAAAGAAAGAAAGATCACTAGAAAGATCACTCCTTGGCTAAAGAAACCTCTAAAATTAGAATTTGGCACAAACAAATCTAAATCTGGTGCCTGAACTATTACCACCCACTACAACAATATGCTACTCCTTGATAAAACCTCAAGTGGTTTGTATTACTATTATGCAAATAAACTGTGGCCCTTATACTTAGAACTGGGGGAAGGAATCATGGACATGTGTCCAAGGAGAAATGTTCTAGCATCTTCTGTAGTCCCATCCTGACCTCTGCCTCTCTGGAGAAGCTCAGTACAGGTTTAAATAATCATTGACACGTTTTAAATCGCATATGTGACTGACGGTCACAGATGGAGAGAAAATGGAAATCTAAAGCAGATACTTTGACAATTCTAATATACTGAATTTTTTTCTTATTGTATAAGAGAAGGGACTAAGGAAGAGCTGTAACACTGGTCTGGTAGTTGACATAAAGCAAACTGAACAATATGCACCCCCAGGTAGCCCACTAACTGTGGTCTACTGGGGAGCAGTCCCTGACTGAGATGGAAGAATGCCACGGACACTGTCCCACAGAGCAGTCCTTCCCTGCTGCCAAAGGGGGCTCAGAACACTTGGCTCATAGAGCAACTTGCCCCCAGATTTCTTGGAAAGAGCTCCAGAGATAGGAACTAAATGCGAGTTTCTTTCCCCAGTTCTCTCAGTTTCCAAAAGATTAGAATTTGGAAGAATCATCAGCATAAAGCTGCCCACAGCCACCTGTGAAATTGCCCAATCCAGCAACTTCCCACGTCACCAGGAACAGAAGGGCTTTGGGTCGTGAAAAGGGCTCTCCACAAATTTCCATATTTAAATAATAGGAGTGGGAATAAGCCTGAAAACAGCACGTTCTAAACCCCACCAACCTTACCTAATGACTTTATTTTCCCTTTGGCCATTTGAATAACTGCTACCTTCTGAAGAATTCAATTACAGATAATATTTTGATTCTTAAATATATTTTCTCCAAAATGATTTTTAGTTTCTCAAGGAAAGCAGAAAATATAGAAACTCAGAGAAGGGGAGACTGGATATAACCAAATGACAAATGTGTCTCTTAGTCTAGAAAATCCACCTGTACACCAAGTAATGTGTCCTACAACCCAGTGGGCAGACATCTTCACTCATGGCTTGCACGACATTTGAGAGTCCTTTGTTCTTTTAAAATCCATAGAGCCTGCAGATTCTCTTTGTCACTGTCCTCCTGGCTTCCTCCCACTGGGAGGGACTAATAAGAAAGATGACATTAGCCCCGTGGCCAGGGCTAGCTGCTCCTATGAGCCTCTCACCTTCTTGTTTTCCTTCTTTCCACCAGCTGCTGATAGATGCACTGCTTTCCGAGCTTGGGACAATCTTTTCCTTTCTTATAGTTATCCCAGCCTTTCTCCATAGTGTCTTGGACCCTGTTGGGACACAGAAAGAAAACCATTTCAGCAATGGTATATTCAGACTCACCTTAACCCTCCATGCCTCTGCTATGCTCTCTAAAGCAAGAAGACAGGTCTCCTAACAGGAAAGTCAAAGAGCTTTTTCTCACCTGAGTTCTTTTCCTGCTTGGCAAAAATTCCAGCACTTCCTGTCTTTTTGGCTAGCACATTGACATCTGGTCCTGTGGTTGACAGCCTTTGCGGGAAATGAGTCCAAGGAACGCTTGGACCTCGAAGGGCTCCCAAGTCCATAAGGAACAACATGCCTATTATCAAAAGAGAGGAACAGAGGATATTAGCATAATTAATAGTCCTCCAAGTGGCACATTGTTTGGGGACACCCCACCTCTTTGGGCACACAAGTCAGAAATCACTTGGACAGCTCATGATAGCAAAGTGTGGAAGCCATTTGGCCCACATGCCCATCAATGGCCTCAGTGTCTGCACCCACACACAAGAAAACCAGTTTTTCTGATTCAACAAAATTCCATTTTAACAACTCAACAAGGTTCAACTTCTTGGCACAGTTTTATCCCAAATTATGACATCTCTGGTTTCTGTTTCATGTGTTCTCCCTTTTCTAGTGTGCTATGTAGTTAACAGCTACACGGGGGGAGAAGCAGAAAGACTACAAAACCATAGCACAAGATTTCAATTTCATTCATGTGTGATAAGTCCAAAAGTGCCGCCTGGTGGAGTGGGGCATGCTGGCACGCTGCTCCCACACTTGGGTAAAATCATATGAGTACGAAGGACTCTCCAGTAACCTGCAATGTGTCCACTTCAATTCTTACATTAAAGAACACAGTCCTCTCTTTGGAAGTACCGCTACTAGAGATTAGGTTCACCGTGGCGTGGCTTTGGTTTGATTTGATTTTGTTTGGATTTTGGCCAGCCATTGTAGACAGAATAAATGTGTTTGTTCTTTCTAATGATTGCTTCTAATGGGTGAACTAGAGTTGGGGACTAAGAGTTAAAAACAGCCTTTGTTCACTCTGGAGGTAGAAGGGAAACCTATAAGAAGTATTCTTATTTCTGTCTTGGAATAGGGTTTTCTAAAGAGAAAAGAGAAAAGCAGGAGATCCAGGACCCCTTCTAGGGCCACAGCCAGATCATTCCTGCACAATGGTCTTCGGCATTTTGGTTCTTAGTTTTTCAATAAGTAAAACAAAGGGACTGGACTATATAATCTCCTCTGTCTCTCAGACCCCACCCTTCTATGAGAAGCACAGGGTGGGTCAGCCTGCATAGGGACCAGGGCCATTTACTCCCTAAACCGAAGGTATGAGCATCCTGTCAAGTCCTTCTTGTTCCTCATCTCAAAATGCACAGTGCCTTCTTACATGTCCTCAGCTCCCTCATCTATCCCGTAGAGAGCATGGGATGTCCAAAGAGCCTCTCCTGGATGGCTCAGCACTAAGTTGACCTGTCTGGCCATTGTTCCCCACAGAGACACTTTCTTGTCCTAGTTCCCCAGCACAGCCACTGACTGGGCTCCAGGCTCAGGAAAGCAGAGTGAGGAATGACTGGAGTTGCAATGCCCTCTAGAGACTTACTCGGGAGTGTTGACCCAGATGATGTCCAGGTGGCAGAAGTAGACACACTCCTTGTCCATTAGGGAAGAACAAGAACAGCGCTTGGACCTTCGGGGCCTCCAGGATGCACTGGGAGGGGGCTTATCCCCCCCATTCTCAGCCTGTGAGCTGAGCTCTGCTCCCAAGACAGCTGTAAAAGAGAAACAGTGGGTCAGCGGGACCAGCCTCCTCAGAGCGCAGAGCACCTGCATCTTAGTATTTGTGCCAAATCTAGCAGTACAAATAAAAGCAGACAAGGCATACAACTGCCCTTAGCACGAAACACAAACAAAAGAAAAGGACTCTTTTTATTCCCCACGCTTAACAATACCTCACCCTTACCCCGCTGGCTTATCCACCTGCAGGGTGATTACACACATGCCAAGGAGATAAATACCCAGGGAGGGACTCCCATGAAGCAGCTTTCAAGGCAATGCTGTCTGGTGGAAATTTGAGGTAGCCCATGCTTAAAACTTAGGATGGCACAACCGTGTAGGGTAAGTTGGCTGATAGCCAACAGGGAAACAAGGCAGGCTACCTGTTCCTAGTTTTGGAGCTACTTCCCCACCAAGGATAACCTTCCCTTTAGGGATACCCACCACTCCCCAGCTTGTGTAGGGCAGAGTGGTCTAGAGAACACACAAATACCTTTTGGCATTAGGCAGAAAGTAAGAGGCGATTAGAAAGAAGAAAAAATCAACTTTGCTATATTTAGATCAGGTGAGACACAATTCATTACGGAAGGCAGTGACCCCTTCAGAAACCAAGACACAGTTTGCAGAACCTAGGAAAGGTTCTGTGGGTTTGGAATTCGGGATCTTTGGAGCAGCATTGCTTATGAGGGACACACCACTTCCCTCTGCCCCAATATAACATTGCCTCTCTATTATTCATTTAGCATTGCAGCTTATCTGCCCAATTTTGTACATTTCAAATGATCACATTCCAGACTTTTCAGCCCTTTGACATCCTTTCTCTTTGGTTAGGGTCATGAAAAGACAAAAAATGTCCACTGACCCTTGAAAAATGAGGGGGTGGTGGTGGTACAGGCACACACGCGTGCGCACACACACACTGCACTGTCTAATTCCTTAAGCAGGCAAGAATGATCTGAGTTCCCCTCCCAGGACAGGTGAATACAGCTGAAAGTACAGCTCACACTGTTTGGAGATGCCAAAAACCTGCCAAATGAAACCCAAAGTCAATAATGACACATTTTAAAGAAAACATCTGCTTCACCCTGAAACAGCCTGCGGGTTACTCAACACTTGGTTGGTCTGCAGGTGATTTTACTGCTCACCCAGAGCTTGAGTGACCCGAATAAAATTCTTTGGCTTTAAGCTGGAGTGTTTAAATATTTTACACATTAACACACTATCAAGACAGGGTTTGAATAAGCTCCTAAGTGCACCGTATACCTCTATGAACACGGGCATTGCAAATATACTTTTGGCTCAATCATAGGTGCACTCCCCTGTTCTTGAGGGTTTTGTTTTAAGGCAAGTAAAGACATTCTGCAATAGTATTACTAAGTTATTTTTTAAGTTTTGTAGCCAATAGGTTTCAAAAGAGGAATTTACTTTTTTCACGGGGACATGTAAGTAGCTTCAAGTAACTTGCAGGGAAGGCGCTTGCTGTTTGCACTGCAGTAATTAAAAATAAAGGTGGAAAACAAGCAAGATGAAGGGTCGGAGATTTACAAGCTGCCCCTACCTGTTTCTGGAGCTCCTTGGAAAGCCACGAACAGCAGAGCAAAGATCACGGGGAAATATTCCATTTTGAAACAGGATCAAAAAAAAGAAAAAAAGAAAAAAGGAAAAGAAAAGAAAAACCTTGCTTGCTTGCAAACGGAGGTCAAAGCACAGCGAAGAAAACGGCTGCGGATCTCCCAAAGCGCCTCTGGCTGTTGGGTCGGGCGCTACCCTCGGCCCGGGTGGCTCTTTCACCGGCGACAGGGACGGGTGGCCCTTTCTCCGGCCGCGGGGACGGCGCTGGAGCGGCGGCTGCAGCGCAGAGCAGAACCCGCGGGGACTCAGCGCAGACCCGGTCCGCAGGCTCCGCCGCTCGCCCGGTGCGGATGCAGGAGCGCGTCTGGTGTAGACAGCTCTCGGCCGGCTTTTTATATTGAACCCCTATAGAGTGGGGGTAAACAGCTCCGACTTTATTCCAGCCCTAGACAATGTTATTGTGTGATCAGTCACCCACAGGCAACGTGCAGCTGGAGATAAGGCCAGGCTCTAGAGGAAATCGCTGCTAACTTCAGAGGCAGACGCCCGCCGTCTGACAATCCAGGGGCAGGGCTAAGAAAAAGAAAACACCCATTAGACAGAGACCTTTGCTAAACCTGCCGGCACCGAGCTGCAGCCCGCTTCCCCTTAGCAAGCTGCCAACCCGAGTTCAAGAATCAAGAGGTTCTCCAGAAAAAAAGTCATGCCATTGGAATGAAAAGTATGAAGTACAGTTTAAATAGATTGTATTGTGTGCGGGGGTGGGGTGGGGGGAGCTCATTGTGCACTTCGTTTCCCTTTTATGTCTGTCCGATTTCTTAGCAGGATCAAACAAGGGACGCGCTCCGTCTTCATTTCCCCGTGGGGGGGGGGGGAACCACATTATTTTGGAAGATCAACTTACCTTTCTCTTATTTTTCTCTCAACTTCCTTATTTCAAGCCCCCTTTCCCAAGTGGATTAAAAAAAAGAAAAAACTAAAGTTCTTAACATCTGAAGTGAGGCGTTAGTAAGGAAGGGAAATTAAACAACAATGATAATAGTGTAGTAATGATTATCACGCACATACCTGGTTTTCCAGTATCATTAGTGAGGACCACCCCTGCCCGACTCCACACACACACCCCCTCCGCCCCATTCTTTTTTGTGCCCAGCCTGTCCCTGGCAATTGCCTCGCTGGCACAACCGAGCTTGAGAAATGGCAAGAGATGAACACCAGGGGGGGATGAAGAGCTACAGGGGCTTATGTTTTATTAGGACAAAACAATTAAAACTTTGGCCTAATAATAGGAAACAAGATGTGGCCAAGCTAGAGGAAGGGCAGGGATGACGCCTCACATGGGAAACAGGGGTGATTCCAGGGTACGCTCACTCGGCTTCCCAGTCGCCCCGTCTGTCTTTGGTTTCTTCATTTAGGGTGAACACACGTTGCTGTGCATGATTACAAATCTGCAACAAGGGCCGTGTTGGGAAGGAGGAACCGACCGTGCTGAATAAGAGGACCAGATAATACCTCAACATTTAATAACGTGTCTCCATTTTCCAAGCAGTTTCCTGTCTATTTAACCTTGAATATCCCCTGAGGTGCCCACGGGGCTGTTAAGGTACAGGTGACCACATACCTTAATGAATAGGACAAAACACACAGGTAACACACTGACTTTTTCACTCAAGCTTCTTTTTCAAGTGAGGAAAGGGAAGTACCTATAATGCCCATGCTGCCTGGGACAACACAGGAACCACCCAGAGTGGCTTCCGTACACAGGTAAAGGGGTCTATACCAAAAGGCAGGGATGCCCCCAGACAGGACCCTCTGTCTCCTCATCTTGTGTGACACCAGTTTACCCAGGGGATGGATGCCAGGACGGGCTAATCTCTAACACTGGAACAACACATTGCATCCCTTTCCTCACTTCTAGAACCGAAAAGATAGATTTGACCCCAACACCAAATCTGTGGAGAGGGGCATGCTTAGATCCCTGGACCTCCCTAGAAGTCACAGCTGGGGAGACTCAGCAGCTGTGTCAGGTCCATAATGAGCTCTGTCCCTTATGAGGCATGGTACTAAAAACTGGAGACCCAAGACAGACAGGAAACAGGAACCATCCCTCCCACACCCACACCTGAGGCCCAGGGCCACAGCCTGGCCTCTGCCTCTGAGCTGCTTACCTCAGCCCAGCCCTGGGGGGTCCAAGGAGGTGACAGCTGCCCCTAGAACTGGGCCCCAGCAGGAAGCCAGTTCTGCCCACCCCAACTCCACAGGGGACCCGGGGGAGAGGAGAGCTGATGTCACCTTCACAAAGTCCAAGCTTCCCACCCGCAGGAGAAAGGTGGCTGGGAAAAGTGTCTTGGTGGTGACTCCTCCCCACTACCTTTTTTATCCTCCTGGCTAATTTGACCAAACACTGCCAACTGTCAGGACCAACCTGTCCTTAGCCCCACCCTGGAAACGCCTGTCCCAGCCCTCAAAGGTATCCTCCTGTGTCCAGCCTGGGCCACCCTCCAACTGGGGAACCCAGCTCATCCCCTCATCCTGCATGTGCCAAGCCCCAGTCATCAAGGGAAGAACAGAAGTAAATGCCCAGGTGACCTCCTCCTACCCCACCCCTTGTCTGTCCATACCTCCCTGTGAATACATTCGAAATAGAAATGCAAACTTGGATGGGTATTGATCCCCACCCTGGCCTTCTAGAGCTCTGTGAATACAAACTGTAAATAAAAACAGGATTTTAAACCTGAAGAGACCTCAGCTTTCCAAATAGAATCCTGCCTTTGCTTTGAATCCTAGATTTCCAAGGCCTGTGTGTGCCTGTGTGTGCTAGTACATGTGCCCATGTCTCTTTTTTTGTGTTTCTTAGGGGTAAGGGTGGAATCTGCCTCTCTGTCCACCTCTCCTTTTTTGCCTCTTGCAGAGGCATCCCTTTTGCCCCCATAGGAGGAAGAGGGAATCCTCATTCAAATCCCAGAGAGATTCCAGTCTACTCTAGGCAACTTCCCAGAAGAAATTTTGCCAAGAATCAAGGGGAGGGAGGGCTGCCCCAACAAACCAGTTTTACAAGCTAGATGTTCCCACCCCATCTCTACTTAAGATATTATTAGAGGTTAAAGAGCTAGAGAAAGGAATAAATAAGGTTTTATAAATATGGAGGTGCTTTCACCGCCCCCACCCCACCCTCTGAAGAGCTCTCAGGGAAATGTTCTGTGTGGCCTTAAAGAGGGAGGGGTCAGAGCGAGGAGAGGCAGGGATGATGGTTTTCCCTAGGATACAACAGCTTGCTGTTCCCATTGTTATTCCTGCTTGCAATGTTTCTGTTGAAATCTGGGAACTACTTGATAAAACTATTTTTTTATGTACTTCTTTCTGTATCTTTGGCTGCTTATTAATAGATATCTATAAATAAAACACAGTGAGCCCCAAATACAGATACTACACAGTAGCAAAGCAAACTTTTTAGCGCTCTTTGACTTTGGTCTTTCCCAACTTTGGCGTAATAAAACTTGCAACTTTGCCAAGCCAGTGAATGTAGTGTGAGATGTTGCATTTTGCTCAAGGAAGAGACTATCTGGAGATGGCTTGACAAAGAATGGAAACTAGCTTCTTGCAGGCACAGTGAAACTATACCATCGCTGAACCCGGCTTAATCCCATGCTGGTGACTCTATATCTCTACATTGTTCAGTACTTCTGTGGAAAATTGTGTATTATAACCATCATGTTTGTGCAGCCTCTAATCCAAAAATCAGACTGATTTCCCATAGGAAACATGACAGCCAGAATCAATTTATCCCATACATTTAAAAAAACATAAAATACATGCTTGATGTCTCCTTTAAGTAATTGTGTCCAAATCTCTAATCTAGCATTTCTAAACCTCAGTCACCTGGAAACCTCTTTCACCTTTCACAATTTTTGCCATGTGTCTTGACTTGTGTACTCTTGTTCTTAATATTTTGTTTTGAATAAACATTTCTTTTCCTTGAATAATTTTAGGAGACGTTTTCTTTCATTTGGTGTGCATGTGGTATATCTGTTCCTCCTCTTCCTCCTCCTCTTCTTCCTCCTTCTCTTCCTCCTCCTTCTTCTTTTGACTTAGGTCTTTCACTGAATCTGTAGTTCACCTTTTTGGCTAGCTGGCCAGCAAGCCCCTGAGATCTTCCTGTCTCTGCCCCTCAGTGCTAGGGTTACAAGCACAGTGCCACCAGGTCTGACTTCTATGTGAATGCCAGGAATCAGAGCTTGGGTCCTCATGCTTGAATAAGCACTTTACCCACTGAGCCACCTCAGCAACCTGGGAAATTTAATAGCACTATTATCCTTGGTAATGATGCGCATGAATTCATGTTTACCACATATGGCACATTTCATTACTTTATGTTCTTTAAGCTTTTAGAAATAAAGATGCCCATCGATAAACCATCACTTTGTATACCAACAGTGGCAGGCTCACTACTCTTGTTGAATAAATACTGTTTAATCCACTGTGGCATCACAGGCCTCATTATGCTAAGGATTAAATTTGGTTCCCATCTCTGATTCTATTTTCAAGACAAATTCTAAAAATCTTACATCAAAACATGCTCCAGAGTTCAGAAATAAGAACAGCAAAAGGCTTACATCCCAAATGTTCCTTGCTGGTGATGACGCGCCCCCTCAGCTTGGGCAGCAGTGTTCAGCAGCCGTTCTTGAACTCCCTTTCTGCCCTCATCCTAAACTTCAATATCCACAAGCTTTTGTCCTGACATGGACCGAGCCACACGCAAAACTACAGATTTGAATGGAAGAATAATATTTCATGCATCACAGAAAATCATAACAGCCTTCTCATCTTTTACTTTTTATGTCATTCATGACATTTGGAAGTAAAGGGACTCTGATGCAGGGGACCAAAGATGAGCATTTAGGCAGAAAAGAGAGAGATGCCACTTCATTAAATGCAATTATGGAATTATTTTAAACAAGCTTTCCTTCCTGTATCTGAAGAGGATGCGATGTGACCCAGATGTAGTTTGTCCCTTCTGAAACTGTAAGAAAATTTAATCCATTGTGTGGTAGTGGGAGATGGGGTCTTTGCAGGTGATTAGCCCATTGAGAGGGATTGATGCGTTTCTCAGGGAATCAGAGGGAGCTGTTTTTCAGCACGACTCCTTTCGATGTGTACCCTCTTCCTCATCTGCCCCCCCTTCTTCCACTTTCTACAGAGGTGAAGCAGCACTGCCCCCCATCCCTGAAGCCTAGCAGATGTTGATGTCAAATTCTTGGACTTGGAAACCCTCATGAACTCCCCCAAAGCTCTATTTCTCAGCACACTCTTAGGAATTGTGTCATAACAACAGAAAATGAGCTTGAGATGGCAAAAAGAATTGATTTGAGGTGATGTTTTGAGACAGGTCTCAGGGAGCTGAGGCTGACCTCAAACTGGCTATATAGTAAAGGATGACCTTGAACTCTTGACCTTCCTGTCTCCACCTCCTAGGTGATGGGATCACTGATGTGCACCCCAACATCCAGCAAAGAACTATTTCTGAGGGAAAGTTTTCATAAACATGGACAGCTGCCTTCAGTGTTTGCTTACGTCAACTACATGTGAACGACTTCCATGGAGAGACTCTGACTAATTTGACTCTGG